TTGAACAACTGGTACAATCCAACTAGTGCGTTCATCTCAATATTACTGCTGGACCTGAGCCGACTGAAGAACCAGTAGTGGTTCCTTGTTACCATGCTGAGGAAGGCTGGATTATTTATTCACAATTATTTACTTCTCCTTTGAGGATGGCTTCCCTGTAGGTGGAGTATATTTCTCTGCTCCATTGACTTTGAGCTTGGCCACGGGACTTGCTTTAACCAACAAATGTGTCTGTGGATGGCAGTGTGTGCCAGGCTGAGCAGGGGCTGTGAAGTGCAGCATGTGTTTCTGCTGGTCTCTCCTGAGCTTTGACCCTCTGCTGTGAGGATGGCTTGCCCAGTGTGGTGGCTCCTTGGCTCCTACAGTGTGGCATTCCTGGAATACACCTGAACCTTACCTGCAGCCGGAGGTGTGCTGGTGAATGGTTAACAACTACCTCTCCCAGGATAAACTGCCCTGGTTTGTGCCAGTCTGGGGCAGAGCTGCCATGGACATCCACAGGCCCACAGACTGGCTGTTTTAAGCCACTACAGGATTTGGCGGTGCTTCCATGCAGTATTATCACAGTGAGCACTGAACCCACGTTTTATTTTGCAAGTCCAAACCTTCTCTAGCTGACTCTATTGTATTTTCTGGACATCACCTTGTATTAGTACCAGATAAAAACACTCTTATCTACTTACACTGATTTCCTGTTCATTTCTCCCTTTAAGCTTTTGAACACATTCATTTTATTCATTTTATTTTAAATAAAATATTCAGGCCGGGTGTGGTGGCTCATGCCTATAATCCTAGCACTTTGGGAGGCCGAGGCAGGCGGATCACCTGAGGTCAGGAGTTTGAGACCAGACTGGCCAACATAGTGAAACCCCATCTCTACTAAAAATACAAAAAAAAAAAAAAAAAAAAATTAGCTGTCATGATGGTGGGCGCCTGTAATACCAGCTACTCAGGAGGCTGAGGCAGGAGACTCGCTGGAACCCGGGACGTGGAGGTTGCAGTGAGCCAAGATTGTGCCACTGCACTCTAGCCTGGGCGACAGAGCAAGACTCCCTCTCAAAAAAAGAATTAATAAAATAAATATTCTTTTCTCTTCCCTACATCGGGAATGTAGTATAATATAATATAGAGAATAAGGAGTCTTGAAACTCATTCTAACCCTAGCTCAGTCACAAATCTGCTGTATGATTTTAGATGTTGCTTGAACAGGTTTCAGTTTCCTCAGGTAAAATGAGGGTTGTTGCAGGCGATTCACCTCTTAAATCTTAAAATCTATGAAATTCTGTTTATTTTTCAAGACCATTCCTTCCATAAAGCTTTCTCCATTGCTTTGTGTTAATTCCTTCCTACTCTGAATTTCTTTAAACTTTTTATATCAAAATTTAATTCTCCATTTACAGTGGAGTCATATTATTGTCCCTTATCTCAAGTACCTTGGTACCTGGGAGTGCAGTAGGTGTTTCAAACAATTTATTTCTCCTCTTTCAAAGCTTTGTTTCTTTGAAGCTTGTGCTATCAGACTGTATTAGTTACTACTTCTCCAAGTGGTTGTTATTTACTGACCACTCTCAATCATTCCCTTTATTTACTGGTGATTTTAACACCTGAGAGGGTCTCCCACTTTGTTTTTCCTGATGACATCACCTGGATGAGCTATCCAACACCCTGTCTTATCTGATTCTTGATCACACCGTTTCTTTACCTTTTCCACCTCACAAAGTCTCATGGCCACATTTTTTACCTTGCCAACCCCGATGATTTTACCATTTCAAACTCTGTTTCCAGCACCCTTTCTGGATTACCACCTCCTATTCTTCTAGCTTATTATTCTGCCATATCCAGCAGGCAATTATTTGACCTCACTGAGGTCTCTCACCAACACTACCACCTTACACAAGCAGTCCCTCCCTTCTTGTTTTGCTTTCCTGCTTATGTGGAAGAGATTTGATGCTCTATCATTATATCCACTCCTTTGCAATCAGACTAGAATTCCCTCATCCATCTTCCCCATACCAAACCTATCAACTTGCTTGAAAATGTATCCCTACTCTCTCTCTTCTCTCCTGTCACTATGGAGGAGGTGACCCTATTCATATCTAAGGTTAATTCTGTCACTCAAGGTTTTCCCCAGATGCCATGTTCTTCCATCTTCTTTAGGATCTTGCGGTCTTGCACCTTAGGTGCCCCTTTCTCTAGCATCATCAGGTTCTCCCTGGTATGGAATTATCATCATTTGCAAATCAATAGGCTCTAGTATGCTTAATCTCTAGAAAAATATCTCTTCCTTGACTACATATTCCTCTTTTATCTGCAATCCCATTTCCTTAGTCTTTTAAGCAAAACTCTAGGGTAAAGCTGTGTAGTCTTGTGCTGCCACCATTCTATTACCCACTTTACTTAGGCTTCAACCCCCTCCATGCTCTGAAACTGCCCTTGTTAAGTTCACCAGTGATCTCCATCTTGTTCAACCCCACCTTCCTTCCTCACCTTGCTTGACCTTTCAGGGGCATTTGATACACTCAAAACACTCAGTGATTTCACACTCCTGTTATTCTGCTATACCTTACTGGCTGCTGCTCCTTTCCCTTTCCCTTTCCCTTTCCCTCCCCTCCCCTCCCCTCTCCTCTCCTCTTCTCTTTTCTTTTCAGAAGGAGTTTTGCTTCTGTTGCCCAGGCTGGAGTGCAATGGCGTGAAATCGGCTCACTGCAACCTCTACCTCCCAGGCTCAAGTGATTCTCCTGCCTCAGCCTCCCGAGTAGCTGGGATCACAGGTGCGTGCCACCATGCCTGGCTAATTTTTTGTATTTTTAGTAGACACAGGATTTCACCATGTTAGCCAGGCTGGTCTCGAACTCCTGATCTCAGAGATCCGCCCGCCTCGGCCTCCCTAAGTGCTGGGATTACAGGTGTGAGCCACCGTGCCTGGCCTACTGGCTTCTTCTTAATGGCCTTTACTGGCTCCTCCTCTGCCTGACTTTTACCTTCTAGAGTTTGCCTCAGGACAGCCATTCTCAAGGCATGAACCTATATCAGCAACATCAGTGCCACGTGCGAACTCATCAAAACTACAAATTCTCAGCCTCACAATCGGTTTAACCCAAGAATCATCCTTGATTCCTCTTTTTGTCTCACTCCTGCATCCTCTTGAGCGGCAAATTCTATTGGCTCCACCCTCATGATATAGTTCCTATTAATTTCCTTCTCACATTCCCACTTCATCTACCATAGCCCAGGTCTTTAGCAACTCTCACACGTGCCACTTCAGTTGCTTCTTCCTTGCTTCCTCTTTTTCTCACTCCTCCCTTTCCTTGCCACGAGTGGTTATCCTCACAGAGTGATCTTTTAAAAATAAAAGTTAGCCATGTAACTACCCTGCTCAAAACCTTCCACTGATGTTAGAATAAAACTGCACTGAGAAGTACTACATGATCTCATCTCTGCCCCTCTGTCTGATCTCATCTCCTTCTACTTTTTCCTTTGCTCATTTTGTTCTAGCTACATGCCTCCTTAATGTTTCTTCCCCTCAGGACCTTCATACTTGCTATTCTCACTACATGAACTATTCCTCTCTCCTAATCTTTGCAGGGCTAACTCCTTCTTGTACTTGTCTCAACTCAACTATTTTTTCACAGAGAGGCCTTCTAATCTCCTAATGGGATGTTGTCCCTCTCCCCAAGTCACTCTCCATACACTGTACTGTTTTATTATGTCATAATATTTATTACAACCTGAATTTATCTGAGTTATTTATTTGTTTACATATTGTCTACGTTTGCCCATAATGTGGGAGGGGTCTAGCGCCATCAGATATGGGAGAGATCTCATCACTGTTGTACATCCATGCCTAGAACAATGCCTAGCACACAGTAGGCATTATTGAGTAATTATCCACCGAACGAATAAAACTTGTAGGAGAGAAGTTTAAGTCAGAAACGCAAAAGTCTTGTATGGGGTAAATCCTTTTACTTATTTCTTTTTCTTTCTTTTTTTTTTTTTTTTTTAAGACAGAGTCTCATAGAGTGCAGTGGCACGATCTCAGCTCATTGGAACCTCTGCCTCCCAGATTCAAGCGATTCTCCACCTCAGCCTCCTCAGTAGCTAGCATTACAGGCACGCGCCACCATGCCCAGCTAATTTTTGTATTTTTAGTAGATACAGGGTTTCACCATGTTGGCCAGTGGTCTTGCACTCCCGAGCTCAAGTGATCTGCCACCTGTAATCCCAAAGTCCTGGGATTACAGGTATGAGCCACAGTGCCTGGCCAGGTAAATCTTTTAAATCACCCTTAAATGTGGCAAAATACTTGCTCTATAAGAGATAACTGAAACCCATCCGTAGATTCCCATCTCACATTCAGCATGGAACATGCCCACAGGAACCAAGTGGTGGCAAAATTATCTACACAATGCAAATTACTCTCTCTCTTTCTCTTTTGTGAACAACTATATTTAGTTGAATTATCTTAGCGAAATCAGCATAATGTGACTCCATTGTAACTAGATATTATCCTGTATTATTCTGTATTTCAATTTCTGCTAGTCCAGTAAGATTATGTGCTATGTAAGATAGAGACTATATCTTATGTTTTTCTTCTAGCACCTGCAGGACCAAGAAAGTACTGAGATAACAGGTAAATCTAAGTACCAAATTTTTGACTACTTGAGAAAAGCTGTCAGGTGTTGTCTGATCTTCAATAAATCATACAAGTTCTTAGATAATTAAAAGGGAAAAAATTAAGTAAAAATGAAATAAAATAACATCAAAAAAGTATTACTTTATATTTCTTTCCTTCCTGGAACTTTCAGTCATTCTCAAAAATGTTATTTGGGATACTTTGATGTACTAAGAAGCTTTGCAAAGCTGCGTAGCCCCAGGATCTGTGACCCTCTCAATTTTTTTCTGTAACTCTCAACCACGCTTCCTAGTGCCATCTCCCATATGCCAAAAAGGCACAATGTTCAGTTTCAAGAAACAATAAGATAAAAAAATGACTGCCATACCTTCAGGAGATTTTGTTAAATTTTCTGTTTGGTTCTGAGCAGTGAAATCCTTCTTAGCCGCAGAAATTTCTGGTTTTGGAAGGCTAGCCACACTTGAGGACTTCTGTTCTGAAACCTTACGTGGCTTGAAATCTAGAAAACCCGAAATGAACCTTACAAAGTGATATTTTGTACAATGATATAATGACTACCAATGTTTGTATGAGCAAACATTGAACAAGGTGTTTTACAATGAACAAGGTACCTTTTCTCCCACTCTCTTTAGAAAGACTAAATATAAGAAAGCCATTAAGAGGCAAGGATTCTTAAAATATGATATAATGTTTGCCATTAACAAACAGGAAGGTATACGCAAAGTTCGCACTCCCTAGGAGCTAGCTGGTTCTTTATGGGTATTATGACCAAATAGTAGATGTCACCTTGTTGTGTTATGTAGAAGAGGCCAAGGAATTTGATTCTACTTTTACCTGGCAATGGCAACTGGACGTGATCTTTTTTTAAAGTTTCCAAACTTAAATTCATTCATTACTGTGAAAATGTAGCTCTTTGTTAAATGTATCTCTTTAAATAGGTACAATAAGAAACAAATTCTAAAGAAATCTATCTAGGACTGAGGAGGCAAATACATTTCAATCTGTGTCTGTGCCAACCCCGGTTGAATAGTCCTGGCTGCCTCAAGTACTGTGCGGAAAAGACTTCCGCAGTCTCACTCCATTTCAAGAGGAGAATAAGCAGTGCTTGGTTCATGTTGACTGCCCAGGCTGCAGGAGGTCTGAGAGGCAGCATAAGAGCCACCAATTTCTGATCCCTGATTTCTCCCCATCACATTTATACATCATTGTTCCAGCTTAATCTTTGGTTTACCAGCTCTGTCGTAATTAGATATTTCTATTGGCTGTGTTCATTATAGACAGCTGAACTTCAAGTATCGTACTGTACAGTAGAAAATTCCTCTATCTGGGTATTTTAACTACTCAGTTTACCAGAGAGAAACACTAAATTTTATTTCATCCCTAAATTCTTCAGCATGCGGCTCCTGAAAATGAAGACATTCTCCTACATATTCACAGCACCATCATCATACCCAAGAAATTAACAGTAATTTAACAATGTCCTCTCTTACACAGTCTCCTAACCAAACTTGTGCAGTTTCTCCAAAATATCTTTTACAGCTGTTTTTTCCTCAACCAAAGATCTAATCAAAGCTGAGGTTTCACATTAGTTTTCATATCACTTTAGTCTGTTTCAGTTTAGAACAATCATCCCATCTTTTTTGTTTTAATGATATTGATTTTTGAAGAGGCTAGGCTGGTAGTCTTACAGAATGTCTACATTTTGGTAGACATTTGTCTCTGTTTCCTCTTGATTAGATTCTGGTTAAGCATTTTTGGCAAGAATTCTCTATAGGATTGTATTAGTCGGTTTTCACACTGGTTATAAAGACATATCCAAGACTGGGTATGTCTATAGGAAAAGGTTTAATGGACTCCCAGTTCCACATAGCTGGGGAGGCCTCACAATCACGGTGGAAAGCAAGGAGGAGCAAGTCATGTCTTACATAAATGGCAGCAGAAAAATAGACAGCGAGCTTGTGCAGGGGAACTCCCCCTTATAAACCCATCAGATCTCATGAGACTTATTCACTATCACGAGAACAACATGGGAAAGACCTGCCCCCATGATTCAATTACCTCCCACCAGGTACCTCCCACAATACTTGGGAATTCAAGATGAGGTTTGGGTGGGGACAAAGCCAGACCATATCAAGAATCTATGCACTTCGTGTTGCATCACACAAGAACTCACTCACTCACTCATTGTTGGTAGGAGTTTGATGACTTAGTTAAGGTAGAAAATGCTCAATGCCTCCATTGTAAAGATACATTTTCCTCCTTATAATTTGTAAGTAATATGTGGGTTGATATTTTGAGATCTTATGAATGTCTTGTTCCCCAATGAACTTTCATTACTCCCCTGCTTTTTAAATTAGTCGGGTCTCCTAAATGCATTTAGGCCAATTTTAAGCATACAGGATGAAAACAAAATGTTATTTACATCTTAGTTTTCTCATATAACTCAGCCAGATCTGTAATATGCACGTCACTGTAGGCTATGGCATCAGCTATCAGTGGTTATGTCCTAAGAGGCCGCTGTCAGGTATTATTCAGTTATGGACATTTAAGAGGAGTATGTGCTATGCTAACATATTACCTAGATTAAGATCAGATGTATCTTGAACAGCCATTTCATTTGCATCTTCATTTTTCTTTGTAAAAGGAGGCAGTTTTTTGGAAAGACTGTCCAGATGATTAAACTGAAAGGAAAAAAAACCTTATTTTAGACTTATACATGGCTGAAATTCAACTGTTACAAATATGTTAAATTGATAAGCAATAATGAAAACATATTTTTAATGCCCTGAAAATAAAGTTTACAAACTGAAATTCTATAAGAGACTGATTAACCCAATTCTAGCTTTTGTTAACTAGTCATAATTTCCCATAATTTCTTCTGAAATTTTCACAGAAATGCAGGGTGTTCTGAACACATGAAAATATTCACTTTGTTTCAGGGTTTTAATGAACTTTTGGCCAGTGAGGGGAAGGTCAGGGCTGTGGTCCTACAGTTAAGCTGAAATAGAACAGGAGAAGAGCGTTCTCCCTCCCTGAGCTTCCAAGAACTCACGATCTCTTAGTGCTATCTTAGCAGCTGATGGGTGAGGAAATTTTAACTGAATAAAAACTTCAAAATGGGTTATCAGAGGTGGGTCAATGATAGGAAAGATTCTGCCTAAAAAGGCTTAACATAGATGGGAGAGAGTGATTAACAGAGAGACTGAAAGGCAGGATCAGGGAGTGAGAGTAATGCATTGCAGAGAACTTCTATTTAGGTGCAAGACCTGACATTAGTCTTCCCTATCACATGCTTGTGAGAATATGGATTTGAAGGGTGTAGGTTAGTCAGTCAGGTCGATGCAGGAAAGAATTAAACAGCATCAGGAAAGAGAGATTACATAATAACATATGCAACATATCAACTTTTATAAAAACTTTTATTAGATTATTGTTCATTATAGTCAATTACCTGAGACTGATATAACTGGTGCAATTCAGACTTAAAAAAGGGTGGTACTCTGTGGTTCTTAATATCCATTAGATAATTTTGTGTTGTCTCAATTTCCTTCCTGGTTGATGTTTCCGTAATGATGCAAAAGAAGACATGGAACATTTTAAAGTGTTATTTGTTTGTGCTTTAGCTCTAAATCCCACAACAGTGAATGCAATCACTAACAATAAAACTGATAAGAATTAATTTGTTAGATATTTTTTGTCAAATTGTTTTGGTTCACTCTCTCTTCTTTTAGAATCAGTCACATTTCTTACTTCAAAAATCAGACTCTCATGTAAGATAGGAAATAATGATACCGGATGTTAGTTTGATTTTGTAGTTGGTCTCAAAAGGCTAAAAATCACATAGCCCTGTAATGGTTAAACTTCTTGAGGTTTTTCAATTCTCTGAGGTTTAAATGACAGCTAGAGTCTACTGGTTTTCATAATTTCAGTAGCAGTAGTAACAAAAACACTTAAACCAAAAACAGAATCTTGAGGCATGATTTGTGAATAATGTGGTCAGTGGTTATAGAGTTAAATAAAAGCAATCATGATAGTCCTGTTTTCCAATACCAGAACCCCTATGTTGGGGAGACATTATGTAGGGAAAGCCAATGAGATGTAAACGGAAGTCACTGGGTAAGTCCAGGAGCTTTTAGAGAGGGCTGACTCAGCTGGGAGACTTTTCCTTGTCCTTGCCTTGTGTCTTTCCCAGCTTCCTGAAATATGAATGTAATGCCTGGGGCTGCAGCAATCATTTTGCAACTAGGAAGTAAGCTTGAGAATGAAAATGATATACTAAGAATGATGGAACAGATAAAAAGAAGGAATCTGAATTCCTGATGATGTTGTGGTGCTTCCTACCATGAACTGCCCATCTCTGACTTCTTTCACATTAGGAAAATAAGCCCCTTTTTAATATGAGCACGGATTTGGAGGTTGTCTGTTAAATGTAGTTGAACTAAATCCTCCCTGAAATAGTTTTCATTTTTAAGTGCTTATTGCACTTAAAAAGCTTAAGTTTTGCAAAATATTTTACACTTAATCTTACAATAACCCTGTGAGTTACTACTTTTGTCCTCATTTTATGAGTTGAAAAACCAAAGTATAGAGAAGTTAAGTAACCTGTTCCAAATCACATTACCAATAAAGGGTGGAATCTAAATTAAAATCCAGGTTGCTTGCCTCCAAACCCATGATCTTGACAACTGCACATGCTAGTCAGCCGTCAGTCCCCCAGTGTGAGAGCTAAAAGAGACCTGCTATGGGTCTGCTATGGACTGCTATTTGGTAGTCCAATTAGCCTCTGTTTATTGATGAGCAAACTGAACTCCTGAAGTAAATGTTACTGAAGTGAAACAAGCAGCCAGCATCAGACATTCTGTAAGTAATCAAATTGTAACTGATTGGATCTGTGACCAGTGCTCTTATACTAGTTGACCTGTCTGGAAATACCAGACAGGCATGATCAAAATACAACCTTACTTCAACTTTCACTTCCCATTAAAAGTTTCTTATCTCTACTGCGTCACTGGATTCACTCGCCGATCTATGGCAGTCTGGTTGCTGCCCACCACTCTCTTAAACTTATTCTCACAAAAAAAACTAATCAACCTTGTAACTGATAAACCCAAATTTCTTTTTTCATTCCCATTTCTAATTCTTCTAAATCATCTGACATTTGCTGACCAGCTTCTATTTCCTTGAAACTTGCTCTTTCCTTGACCCAGGTCATTTTCCACATTGCTAACACTTGTCTTTCTGTGACACTCATCTAATTACATGCTTTACTCTTCTTCTTCAAAAAACTTTCACTGGCTTGCCATTATATACCTATAAGTTAAAACTTGAAATTGTTAATGTTTCAAAATTTAATAAATTTGTATAGATAATACAAGCGTATGTACACAGTTTAATGAACACTCATGAGTACATAATAATGAAGTCTCTATCTCATCCTATCCCCCATCTCTCAATCTCCTTCCTCTCAGGCAATCATGGTCTCTTGGAGAAGCTCTTAGGGATATTCTGATAATAATGGGCTTTAGGGCACATTACCTTAAAATATGGTAGCTTGACACACTGAATATTTTCAGCTGAAGGAATGTGAGAAAATGGCAGAAGCAGGAAGGTTACTCTCACCTTCCCTCTGCCCTTCTTCCCTGAAGCAGGACATAAAACCTAGAAACGATTTTCTGCCCTTCCCCTGAAGCAGCTCATAAGACCCTCTTATGAGAGGTGCCCTTGCAATACCTGCAGGAAAGGAGCATCCTTATCTCTGAAGACACAGATGCACAGAGAGGAATATGAGCAACAGACCTTGCCTCAGTCCCCCAGCTTATTACCATTAGATTGTGCTTTTTTGCCCTATCGTATTTCTCCATGAGTGTCCATTCTTCATGAAACCTAGCATAAAGACACTCAGGTATAGCCATTTATTTGAGTCTTCATTTCCTTATGAAGACTGTCATGTCATGTAAAACTTAAGCTATCCTCCCTGCAGACAGTATATCCCTTCTAGTTTGACCTCGAATAGGGGAGGTGACCCATGAGGCTTAAAGTCTTATCTCAGCACTCCCCTAACACATTTCACAAGACAACCCTGACATGTTTATGAAGAAACATATTAATCCTGAAGTCATCCTGAAGAGGAGCCATGCAAATGTGTACAATAGATAGTATCATATGTACCGCTACATACTCAACAAATATATCCGACTTCTTTTTTCTATGACAAACGAGCTGGAGTTGAAATCCCCACCTAGGACTAAAAGGAAACCAAACCATATAACGCTTAGAGCACATTCCTCCTGTGAATTATAAGAACCTTGAAAGTTTATGATTGTGTTCTGCATTAAAGTTCCAGAATATTTATTGGTATTTAGAATCGCCAAAAGCACAGAGAAGGCCTGGACAGCTTTCTTGCTTAGGAGAGGAAGAGGATCTATCTAATGGTCAAATGGGTTTCCTCAAGAGACAGTGGCGTCGTCACATAAAGCTGAATGACCACTTGGTAGACATGTTGCGGAAGAGAGTCAAATAACATCTGGGTGCCTGGTAGGACATTTTGGCCTATCCCATTCTCAGAGTCTATTACTCTGGGCTCTTTCAGGTGCTTATGTGCATTTTGGGGTAGAATTACCTCGTTTTGTCTATCTTTTCTTTCCAGCGTTTTGAGGATGCTGTGTGCCTATGTGAAAGGAAAGGAAAGTATGGTGAAAAGGGACAATGATTTCAGCTTAAAAACAAAACCAAAAACCCTCACCACTATATGATGAATTGTTAATAGTATGGGAGATGAAGGGCTGTGAATTCATTGATGTAGTCACCAAAAGTTATAGCACCTGCATATTCCATTTCCTCAATCACTGCATGCCTAATACTAATTAGAACACGTTATTGGATTCACTTACCTCCATTTCTTTTCAAAGAAATCTTTCTTAAATGTGTCTGATGGACATTTTGGAGGCGTAGCCAAAGATTGCTTGAATAAATCAGTTAGGTGAGCTGCAACTTTAAACACAGATGTATTTAACTTTTATCCCCACTTCTTCATAGGACAACACACAATCAGTACACAATTACTCATTTGAGATACCTGTTAACAGACTATATTTAATCTATCAAGAGTTTATTAGGATTTACATGACCAAGTTGTAATACAACCGTAAACTAGACTACTTTTATGAAATATCCTACCAGAAAACACGCAACTTATAGTCAAAATGTAAAATGCAGTGATGTCTCCTTTATCCCATATTATTAGGGGAAGTGGTGTTCTGCTTAACTGAATTTCCTCATATCTGAGGCAACAAACCTTAAAACAAATTAACCATGATATTGAAATTGTTTTTCTGAATATTTTCCTGCTTCCTGAATCTAAGAACATGAATATAAGACAATGGTTGTTCAACAATTTAGACAGCAATTCTCAGTTTATTCACAAAACATGATCTCGATGGGATGTCAACGGGAGATTAAAAGAAGGAAAATATTTTCATGTTTCATGGTTACATGAGCTTGGGAAACACTGATTTATACAAGGTTAAATAGGTTTCACTACTTTTCTGCATCTTTAATTAATTAATGTACATGTGACTCTCTAAGAAAATAAGACAATATGAAGCATTATACAAACTTCTTTTAACATGAAACTCATTTTTGGTGGGGCCTTCTCATAGATGAGTGTTTTAGGAAATACTATGGGGGAATGTTGATTTAGGATCATTTAAATTAATATGTCAGGGACAGCTGTAAGTATGCAACTACTGTTTATTTCCTGGAACTGTTTGTTTAAAAAAATACGTTAGTTTTTACTTCACTTTTGGAAAACCTATGTGTTTTCCTTGTTGTGCCTGTTCACTTGTCCCAGAGGTTAAAAATTCAAAAGCTACAGGGTAGCGTTGCCAGATAAAGTATAGGGACCCTGGTTAAATTTGAATTTCAAATAAACAACTTTTTAGTATAAGTATATCCCAGGCTTCTGGGGACACACTGTGTCTTAGCCTGCTTTATGTTGCTATAAAATAATACCCGAGACTGTGTAATTCATAAAGAAAAGAGATTTCTTTGGCTCACAATTCTTCAGGCTGTACAAGAAGCATGGTGCTGGCATCTGCTTCTAGTGAGGGCGTTAGGCTACTTCCACTCATGGCAGTGGGGGAAGGGGAGCTGGTATGTATAGATATCACATCATGAAAAAGGAAGCAACAGAGAGAGGGGAGATTCCAGACTCATTTACCAACCAGCTCTCATAGCAACTAACAGAGTGGGAATTCACTCACCTCACCAAGAGGGCAGAAGGTACCAAGCCATTCATGAGGGATCCACCCCAGCGACCCAAATGCCTCCCATTAGCCCCCACCTCTCTCTAACATTTGGGATCAAATTTCTTTTCTTTTCTTTTTTTTGGAGACAGGGTCTTGCGCTGTTGCTCAGGCTGGAGTGCAGTGGCATGATCACTGCTCATTGCAATCACTACCTACCAGGCGAAAGATATCCTCCCGCCTCAGCCTCCAGAGTGGTTGGGACCGCAGGCATGCACCACCACACCCGACTAATTTTTTTTTGTATTTTCTGTAGAGATGGGGTTGCCCAGGCTGGTCTCCAACTCCTGATCTCAAGAGATCCACCCACTTTGGCCTCCCGAAGTGCTAGGATTACAGGCAAGAGCCACCAGTCTCGGCCTGGGGATCAAATTTCAGCATGTGATTTAAAGGGGTCAAACTTCCAAACTATAGTGTACTTATACTAAAAAAAATTATTATTAGTCATTCATCTAAAATTTAACTAGGCCTTCTCTATTTTTATTCACTAAATCTGGCCACCCAACTACAGGAGTTGTCCAGGGTAAAAGAGTGACCACAGAGTATAGGGACAGGGATACATAAGGGGTTGTGATGGACTCCTGTTATGCTCGTTCTAAAGAAGCAGCTGCCAATTATCTTCAGCCAAACTTACTATGTAACAATGTGAGATTTCAAGAGGAAAAAGTCTGGATAAACAACAACAACAACAACAACAACAAAAACAACTGTACAAGCCCACATTGTGGAGGATACTCAGAACCTATCTGTGGGATGAATGAAGCCCATGGCTGCCAGTTTATGATTTTTGCCATATGGCCAACAAAACAAAAACCCACCAAATTCTCTACTGCTTGTTTGCTGTGAGCTATGAAACCATCTAGCCACATTTGTTAGGGCTGTGTACATATATCCCCAAATGAATACTCTTTGAATAAGATCTAAGAGTAAACTACTTGCACTACATACAGTGTAAAACAGTGCAAGGCTTTGTTGATAACAGTGTAGTTGCTCAAAAGTTCTGTGTGTGGGAGGGCGGGCTGTTGGTTGGTTGACTGTTTCCTTCCTATATCTTCATTATAGCTGAGGCTAACATAAAAGTCAAATGTCAACATTTTTCACTTAATGGATGAAAGTTAAAGATGAATGAGAGAAAATTATGGTTTTCTAGGATCTCAAAGCTCAGGCAGAACAATACATGCAGAATGATTTACAAAAATAAACCACCACAACACAACGTGGCCAATACAAGAATGGAGACAGGTACATGGTGTCTTGTTAGCAGATAACAGAATGACTGATAAGTGTATTTAAGATGATTCCTTTGAAATTTGTAAATATACTGCAGAAGAATATTAAATGCAACTCACCTTCAGTAACATGACTTTTTGTAGTTTCCTCCATTTTAGGGAAAGACTGAAATGAAGATAGAATTACTTAATGGTGATGATTATATTACTTACAAGACTTACTTTGTTTAGAAACATTCTCTCAAGTTGATCTTTTGTAAAAATTACTATAACATGAATTAGTTTAAAAATACTGATATAAAATTAATTTTTGTAGGTCATTCCTTCCAATTAACTAATGTCTAAAACTGGAAATAATTTTAAGTTGTAAAAATTCCTATTTCTTCTTCTTTCCTATTTCACTCATCATTCAGTATTTCAATAAATATCAATTTCTTTTGAAGACAACAAAAAGTTTTTATTTAAGGGCCTTCAGAATTATTTATGAAGGAAGAGCCTAAAATGTATTTGGAAAATGCAATATATAGAGAAATGGATTGCCACAAAAACTGAAAATTGTGAGGAGAGAGCAAATACTTCATGAAAGTAGCAGAAGCAGCTATTTTTCACGATATTTTGTCTTGAAACATTTAATATTGAAACAATAGTAAGAAGACTGGTGTACAAGGCATTTTCTCACCATAACCAGCTTGAGGAGATCAGCGGCATTGCCTCTCTCCTCCTCAGTTCTGGAATCTTTAACCATCATTTCCTGCAGCTCATCTTCTTTCTTCAGAATATGGTTTATGTAATCCTAAATCACCAGAATAAAATAAACAGACAAAAACTAGGAATTAGGTAGAGAGAGATACAAACATGGTCATCAACTTGAAATATTACAAAAAATGAAGAATATATAGGTTTACAATGCTCAAGAACTGTTTACTAGTCAAACAATCTGAAAAGACTTTTTCTTAATATGTTAACAGGAAAAACCTGAAAAGTGCAAAAGCACAGCTTTAAGGGCCACAGGATAGAACTGCATGGGGGCCTCAGAGAGGCCCTGTTTCTAACTCTGCACTTAAGTGTCCTCATCAATAAAATGGACAGAGTTGGGTTAGATAATGTCTAGGATTCTTTCAGGTATAGTTTTTTTATTTTATCTGTAAATGGAATTTGCCTACTTCATGTCTTTGCTTCCAAGAGAAATGTACTTTATTTTTTTCATAAGTATTTGATCCATTTCCATAACTAATAATACCCTGCTCTGTGCCAGGTGCTAGGCATATAACCATAAACAAAACACATACAATCCCTGTACTGAGGGAGTAAACAAACTTGAGATGTTACAGACATGATCACACAATTAACTATATATTTACAAATTCTTAGACCACTTCCAAAGCCTTTTCCTCCATGGACAAATATATTAATATGTGGTTCTGTCTTTATCCAGTGGTCACTATATCAGTTTTCTATATAGTGACAAAGATGGAGGGCTCTATATAGAAATCACTTACAAAAAAATCTTACTTTTTCAATGTCTTTGGGCTTCTTAATAATTTCTACACCTTATGGGAACCATTAAATATTTTCTACTTCTCAACCTTCTACTCTGAAAGACTGACATCCTTGTGTTGCACTAGATAAATATTGGTAGAATTACATAATTTCAGGTTTCTTAGGAAACTAAGAGCAACGATTGCTCTGTTTCTGATTCTTTTGGGTCAGGTTACTTAGATTCCATTACCTTAAGGGAAACCTGCAGCCTCAGTTTCACCTCATTCTTTATGACCTCATGCTGAATGAACTGGCGCATCTGTAGCACACTGGGGCTCTTGAGTATGGCACGTGGGGCACTCACTAGCTGTTTGGACTCAATACAAAGGCCTTTCCAAATCTGAGTGCCAAACGGAGGTCCTGGAGTTTTTTTCTGTTAACAAAACAAAGCAATAAAACCACCAAAGAAATCAGAATGTTCTCACATTCAGATTTTTTAAGTGTTAATTTATTATGTAGATATCATAATAACCTTTCAGGGACACAGTCGTGAAGAAAATCCTTAACCTCAAAAAGTTCTGCAAATATAAGGAAAATCAATAACAGAACTGGGCATGCTTTCCTCTTTATTTATGTTACCAAGATACTGGATATTTAAAAATCCTGTTGCATGGTGTCCTGGGTAGGATGTAGAAGAATGCTAAGCAATGTAATAACAGCCTAGCTTATGACAAATGGATGTGGCTATTTCTTAGTACCCACAAGTAGACGAAGACATTTGGCACTGAGCAGTCTTTCACTTTCAGGTTCTGTGTTCATTTTGACCTAGAAAGATTCTTTGCAAGAGAAGTAATTCCACAGATCTGGGCCATCTTTGAGCTTACTCTAGATTAAGCATGCCTCCAGAGTCTGAGGATCTCTGGGGCAGAAAAAACTACCTGAGAGTAAACTCACACTATATGTTATACTTGTGATTGATTTTCAGGAATGGTATGCTTTGCTGCCCTACTATGTCCTCAAGTGTGCTGGATGTGCTTCATTTCAAAAGGCCTGGACAGTGACAGCCACTTAGGGGCTTTGCAGGCCTGTGCCACTCCTACCAGATGTAGAAGGTCAGAGCATAAGAGTTTCAGAGAATGAGAACACACTTTCTTCAATAATCTTAGACGTGGCATACACTTTGTCATCATGTAGTACTTACAATTTGGACATAGCCTCAGTGTGCCATTTGGTGTGACCTCCTCATTTTCAGAGAAGGAAATGGAGACCCAGTGTGACTTGTCCAAGATCCCACATTAATAAGGGGTAGAATTGGGATCAGAATTCAAGTCACCTTCATCTTACCATGTTGACTACAGTCACCAAATTTAACCACAGGTCTAGGAAGTCACTGTAATCTTAAATGTTCATCATCTGTGTTTGCTATTACAAGATTTAGTGTAGGACAGCAAAAATGATCACAATCAAAAACATTATCTCAATTATCAATCTCTGATCATAGTATCAATAGCTTCACTGATTTAATTATTTAACACCTGACCATATGTTGGACATGTGACATAAATTGCTTATAAAATGAAATGGTAAATTATGCAAGGTGCAGAACTTCATTGATTCTTACCCAAGATATTTTATTCTTAAAAAAATTTAGGTGGAGCTTCTCTTAACTGACATAATCACAGTGTTTACTTTCTAACATTGCAATATGCGTATAATCCTTCATATTATTCTTAGACGGTCAGTTTGGGTATTTTTAATATATGAAGAAAAAAAGGGAGAGTAAAAGACCCAAAATTGTGTGTTAAAATGAACAAATAAGAAATGATAGAAGGAAATATTTCTGTATGATATAATATCAGTAATTCCATGACAGAGGTGTAACCTGGCTTACTCAGAAAGAATGTTTTAATATTATAGGAAGATGTGCAAGCCTACAATACAGGATAAAAGAAATAAAACTGAAATTAGCTAGCCAGGAGTATTCCTCTAAAATGTTGGAATGCTCAGAGTATTCCTCTAACATCTACAAATGTTAGAATCTTCAAATATAAAACTCCTTGAGCACATTAACAATTTACATAAGAATGAAAATATATGAATATATGGGAGGAGACCTAAGACTCTGGTCCACTGCCCTTGGATGGATGTACACACTAATAAAATGACTTTTTAGAAGAAATTATATACCTCAACTGAGGGAAATGTTTCCCATGACCTTGACTGGAGATTAGGAGGGACAATTGTATCTTCCTTTTTTATTAACCATGGTGATGCTTCATGGAAAGGGCGAAGGACTGTGATGGTCAGGGTGCCTGGTTCAAAGAAAGTTGTCAGAAGACCATTACCCATTGAAAGTACTCAGAGAAAATGAAAATGCATTCACTAAATTCAACAAGTTCTTTTTGAATAGCCTTAGACACGAAAGATTAATGAGACACAATGACTATACTTAGGAACCTTACAAACAAATAAGAAGGATGAAGCTTTCAGTCACTGTGACACCTAGAGACTGGATTTAGATCACCTGAAAGTATTCATTGACACCTCACTGTCCCTCACCAACCACATACAAGTTCTGTCAGTTCTCCCAATAAACCTGAGTCCACCTTTTTCTCTCTCTGTGAAACCTACTTGATGTGCCTTAAAAAGATCCTGCTCTAGACTATAGCAACAACTGACTTTGCCACCTATATATACTCTGTGAGTGAACCTTCCCTTGCAGTCAGGGTGACTGATTATGTTAGTCCATGATGAAAACTCTTTTTTGCCTTCACATTGCTTGTGAGATAAAAGATGGCCCTTAACATTCTTTTGCCCCTACCTCAACTTGTACTGTTCTTCCCCTCTGTGCTTCGGCTACTTTGACCTTTCCCCCAACCCATGTTTTCCAATGCTTTATGCTTTCTCTTTTATGTTTTCTTTTCCAAGAAAGCTCTCTCTCTTACCTTAATTAACCACTACCTACCCACTAGCTTTTGGCTCAGGTGTCTTCAGGGAAGCCTTCTAGACTATGTCAGTTTCTTCTGTTAGATTCTCTCAGACCTATGTTCTTTTCCTTCATAGGCCTTATCCCAACTTATAATCATACAGTTGTGTGACTTTATAATTAACAGCTATCTCTCCCAGTAACCTACAAGCTCCATTGAAACAGGGTCCATGCCTGTTTCAGTTCACCATTGTATTCCTAACACCCAGCCAGTGTTTAGTACATGGTGGTTTGCCAAGTAGAGGTTAATTAAATGACTAACAAACCAATGTGAGATGAATTCTTATTCTCCCACAGTTCCATACATGCACCACACTGACTGGGGGTTAGTCAGAGTCCCCCATGTTCCATATTCACAAAGAGCAAGGTGTATTAATGTCATGCACATGTGCATTGATACACTAAAAGTTTTAAGGGCACAGAAATGCAGGCATATTTATAAATGCACACAAAATGTATCCCAAAACACAAAGATGAAAACACACACACACACACACACACATAAACCTAGGCACAGCACATAGGTTTTGTATGCAGATAATATATAGGTTTATATCTATATTTAGATACACATATTACATATATTGGATGGTTCTTTCTTAATGCGATATGTATCTCTAACCTCTGGCAACACACCAATTTCCCTGAAGTTGAGGAAAACAACATAAGTATCCAATGAATATAGCTTATATAACTTACCAGGTATTTCAGGTTGGCATTATAACTCATACATCAATTTCATCAAAGCAACATCTTCAAAATGACAAAAAATGAATTTACAAGAGATATCTCACTGTTCTTTGTTTTTTCTTACCAAGATGAAATGAACTCATAAATCAGAACTTTGGTACATACCTGAACACAGATACAAATCTGCTGATAGGAGAAGAGGGATACATACTCAGCTTACGCAGATTGGTGCTCAGATACATCTTGATATATACCTAAATTCAAGTAGCTATATAAGCTATAAGTCATATCAACTTATTTCTGCTCTACTTTCCAAAGCAGAGCAGTAAAGTGAGCAAAGTGGAAAAAGTAAGACGACATGAAGACATACTGGATAGTAAGGAGAATGAGAATTGGCGAAGAGACACAGTGCATTCCACACAGTATGGGCCCTCTACCTGGCTGTTCCTGCACTGGCTCTTGGAGAACAACAGTATTTGGTTCTTTATATGCCAAAGATAGATATTCTTCTATGTCACTGTCTCGAAGAAGTTCCATTCCTGATCCATCAGCATACATAACGAAAAACCTATTTGAAGAAATAAAAATATAATCACTTCAAGTATTCAGTTAAAATGCTCCTTGAGCTTAGAATTAAAAGTAAAATTATAGTATTATTATTTTACCTGGGGACATGTTCACCATAGATTTGCTGATGATTCTTTTCAAGGTGCATAGAGGATAGACTATCATAGCCCTCAGGTTTTTCATTTAAATCATCTTCCAATTTTTTTTCAGGTAATATAGTTGATATGCTACCATCAGCCATGACCTAAGGCATAAAGTATGTAAGCAACTAAAAGAAAAGAAAGTCATAATGCTTATATTTCCACTGATCCAATTTGAGAAAACAGATGATTTGGTGGGTTTATTCAGAAAATTGGAGATGTTTATTTGCAAGGTATTGTTTACTAAGTAGAGACTGCATTAATAAAAGTAAAAACCTAGCAGGATAACTCTACTTATAAACGACACCTAAAACAGGAACACAGACTGAAACATATTCAGAATGAAGTGAATAGGATGGGGAGGATACTCAAAACCTCATACTATGAAGATAGGTTCAAGGAATTGGGAATTTAAACATGGAGGAATGGGTACTCATGCAATAGCTGTCTTGAATTATTTGGAAGGATTTTTGCATGGAAGGGGCTTATACTCTGGGATTTCAAACACAGAATTGCGGCTCATGGGTAGAAAACTTAGGGGAACAGATTTAGTATGAATATGAGAAAAAATGTTCTAGTCCTTTATTACTGTCTAAATATGCCTTGAGTCTCTCCAGAAAGGGGTGTGATTCATGCTGCAAGACCACTGAAGGGGATGCCCAAGAGGAGTATCAATGCCCAGAAAAATGCTTGGTCTAGAGGGTTTTGAGCTTTAAGTTTCTACTTCAATTTGTCATAAATTGAAATTTGTCAGTTTCAACTCATGCTGTGAAGAGTTTCAGTTACTTAGCAAAGAAAAAATAAGCTGGATCAGGGCTTATCTACATATCAAAACAAAGTTAGGAATTCTGTTGTATAACTCCAAATCTAAAAAATAACTTCATACCTACTAGTTGATAGACAAAATTTCACTGTTGAATTAGAAATTAAAAAAAAAAAAGATAAATGCCTAGAGCAATAGTTGGCAAATCTTTTTTGTCACAGGCACGACAGTAAATATTTTAGAGTTTGAATTTGCAGGCCATACATTCTCTGTTGCAACTACTCAACTCTGCCATTATTATGTAAAGCAGCCATAGATAGACACTATGTAAACAAATGAGCATGACTGTGTTCCAATAAAACTTTATAAAACGACATTGAAATTTGTATTTCCTATAATTTTGTTGTGTCTTCTTTTGTTTTTTCAAAAACCATTTAAGCATATATGAAACCATTTTTAGTTCACGGGCTATAGATAAACAAGTGGCCATTGTCTGCCAGTTCCTGACCTAGAGGTGAGGGGATAGTCGTGGTGTTGAAAGACAAAGAAGCAAATATTTTCTCACATTCTGTAGGTTGTCTGTTTAGTCTGTTGATAATTTCTTTTGCTGTACAGAAGCTTTTTAGTTTAATTAGGTCCCATTTGTCAATTTTTGCTTTTGTTGCAATTGCTTTTGGTGTCTTTGCCATGAAATATTTGCCAGGGTCTGTGATCAGAAGGGTATTTTCTGGGTTTTCTTCAAGGGTTTTTGTAGTTTAGGTTTTACATGTAAGTCTTGAGACAATTACTGTATATGGAAGGGGTCTAGTTTCAACCCTCTGCATATAGCCAGCCATTTATCCCAGTACCATTTATTGACTAGGGAGTCCTTTCCTCATTGCTTGCTTTTGTTGGTTTTGTTGAAGATGATTGTAGGTATGCAACTTTATTTCTGGGCTCTCTATTCAGTTCCATTGGTCTATGTGTCTGTTTTAGTAGTGGTATCATGCTATTTTGGTTATTGTAGCCCTGTAGTATAGCTGAAGTTGGATAATGTGATGCCTCAATCTTTGTTCCTTTTGCTTAGGATTGCTTTGGCTATTTGGGCTCCTTTTTTGGTTCCATGTGAATTTTAGAACAGCTTTTTCTAATTCTGTGAAGAATGTCATTGGTACGTTGATAGGAATAGCCTTGAATCTGTAAATCGCTTCAGGCAGTATGGCCATTTTAATAATATTGATTTTTCCTATCCATGATCATGGAATGTTTTCCCATTTGGTTGTGTCATCTCTGATATCTCTTATCAATGTTTTGTAATTCTCAGTGTAGAGACCTTCCACCTCCCTGGTTAGCTGTATTCTTAGGCATTTTATTTTTTGGTGGCTATTATGAATAGGATTATTTTCTTTTTTATTATTATTATACTTTAAGTTCGAGGGTACATGTGCACAATGTGCAGTTTGATACATAGGTATACATGTGCCATGTTGGTTTACTGCACCCATCAACTCGTCATTTACATTAGGTATTTCTCCTAATGCTCTCCATCCCCCAGGCCCCCACCCCCTGACAGGCCCTGGGGTGTGATGTTGCCTGCTCTGTGTCCAAGTGTTCTCATTGTTCAATTCCCACCTATGAGTGAGAACATGTGGTGTTTGGTTTTCTGTCCTTGTGATAGTTTGCTAAGAATGATGGTTTCCAGTTTCATCCATGTCCCTACAAAGGACATGAACTCATCCTTTTTTATGGCTGCATAGTATTCCACAGTGTATATGTGCCACATTTTCTTAATCCAGTCTATCCTTGATGGACATTTGGGTTAGTTCCAAGGCTTTGCTATTGTGAATAGTGCAGCAGTAAACATATGTGTGCATGTGTCTTTATAGTAGCATGATTTATAATCCTTTGGGTATATACCCAGTACTGGTATGGCTGGGTCAAATGGTATTTCTAGTTCTAGATCCTTGAGGGATTGCCACACTATCTTCCACAGTGGTTGAACTAATTTATACTCCCACCAACAGTGTAAAAGTGTTCCAATTTTTCCACATCCTCTCCAGCATCTGTTGTTTCCTGACTTTTTAATGATTGCCATTCTAACTGGTGAATACGCACACTGATCGGTCTTGATCTTCTCATCCAATTCTGCCGTTCCTGTCTTTTAATTGGGGCATTCTAGCCATTTCTCTAAAGGTTATATTGTTATGTCTGGATTGATCCTGTCAGTATGATGTTAAGCGGTATTTGCCCATTAATTGAGTGCGAGTGTGCTTTCATAGCATGCGATGGTCTTTACAATTCTTGCATATTTGTTGCAGTGGTTGGTACTGGTTGTGTCCTTTCCATGATTTATCGGTCTCCTTTAGGGCTCTTGTATAGGCAGGCTGGTGGTGACAAATCCTCAGCATTTGCCTTGTTTGGTAAGGGTTTATATATTCATCTTAATATATAAAAGCTATAGATTTGGCTGGATATCGACCCTTTGGATTGAAAACTTCTTTCTTTCCAGATGTTGAAAATTGGGCCCCCATATCTCTTCTGGCTTAGACACATTCTGACAAAGGCAGATCTGCTGTTATTCTGATGGGCTTCCCTTTGTGGCAACTCGACTTTCTCTCTGACTGCATTAAACATTTTTTCCTTCATCTTCACTTGGTGAATTTGACTTACGTTGTCTTGGGGATTGCTCAGTTCCTCAAGGAGATATCTTTGTGGTGGTTCTCTGTATTCTCCTGAATTTTCTGAATGTTGGCCTGCCTTGGCTAGAGTTGAGGGAAGTTCC